CTTTTTTTTTTAGAAATTTTGACGCAAGTGGTAAAAAACAAATGTCTTCTCCAAATGCGACTACCGTAGTTGGATAATCTTTACAGATTGTATCTAAATTCAGAGCAATATATACTCAAAGAGCTTAGAAAAAAGTAAAAGAGTTCCATAAATTTTTTTACTTTCTCAGTCACCATTACTGTTTATAGCATTGTCTCCATCTCTTATAGCACTAAAGAATTGGATCATATCTCCACAAGCTTCTGTATTTATAAGATTTTTACTTTTTCTAAACATTCTAGATGAAAAATTTTTTGTTTAATATATACACATATATACAGGGTGTTCGATAATGACCACATAATCTGTCAGGTAGGTAAAATGGATTAAACTGAATTAAAAAGTTTTCATTTTGTAATTTTCGCAATTTTTTAAAATTACTTATAATTAATTATTACGAAAATACATAAATTAAAATATGTCAAATTATTTACATATGTGAAATCAGTTGCAATCTACATATTTTTTAACATAACACCAATATTGGACAAAGCAAAAATATAGTACCAGTATCCACTATGACAGATGTTTGTGTTATTATTTGTGTTGAGCTATTCATCAATCCATTTTGGCTTTATTATTGTTTATATAGAATGTTAACGTTAACATTTGAACTAGCAGTACCACATATATTCTCACACTCTTGTATATATTAATTTTCAATAAGTGGAGAATGTGCCGTAAGGATTACTGTAATGTCATAATCTAAGATACATTTATTCTAGCAATTAGATGTAGGATTAGAATGGAACATGTAATCAATTTATGACAACTTAACATAATGGTATCGACTATGTACTTTATATACTGAGGACTTAAACCAGAAGTCGAAACGTTTATACATGTGTTAAACCTCATCTATACAATAAAATATTTCATACACATCAACACCTAGTGTCGGCTCGTTATAGGCATTTCAAGTTCTCAAGTTAAACTAATATTAATTTATAGATTACCAAAAATTAGAGAGATATACCTTTCATGTTTAAAATTTTGGCTATCTCTATCCAAGCATTTTCTTTCTTCAGGCTGTCTTTAAAGTCACTTAATTGCTTGTTATATAAGTAAGGATGACTTTGAACTAAGGAGATAAGGATTGCATCTCCATCCACAGAATCTTCATTCATAAAGGTTATGTCTTCGTCCACCACATTTTGAGTATCAAATTCGTTATCATCCTCGTAATGGACCATGTAATAAGCGTCGTGATCCATTTTTCTTAAATATTTTAGGTTAAAAGGCAGTAGTCTGTTCAATGTACAAACCTTCACAAATCTCTGAACTAGTCTACATAACGCATCGATAACCATCAATAAGCATAAAAATTCATCCTTACGAATTTTTCGACACATTATGCATCATGTTTTACGCACTATGCGATCCTCGCAGAACGAGTAGTGGGGATAGAAATGAAGGAATCTGATTGGTTTATTCCCTTATGCCTTATGCATTATGCGTTACGGAAAAGCCTGTGCTCCCCGCTTTAAGGCCGCGACACAAACTTTTGCATAAAGCATAATGCATAGTGCATAAACGAATCAACTAATCAGAATCTTTCCTTTCCTCCCATTCCATGGAAAAGAAGAATTTCGATTGGTTGATTCTCTTATGCACTATGCATTATGCGTTATGCAAAAGCTTGTGTCTGGGCTCTTATACTCAGGTTGAGCGTCCAAAATAATCATTAATTGAGTGTTACCTTGAGTGTATTTTTTCAGTGTTTATTAAAGTGTAAACACTCAAATTTCAAGAGTTTTTTCCGTAGGGGAAGCACCTGAAAGCTTCTGATTCGCTCAAATATTTGACCCAACCAAGATGGCGGCTGATCAATTGCGGCCACGATTTTCTATGCTTCACAGCGGAGATGCCCATTCCAGTGTATATATAGTTCAGTAGCTATCGTATGTATGTACAGTTACGCCGTACATCGCCACCTCGTGGCAGTATAGAGTAACAGTAGCGGTATTTTGTGCGGTTATCGTGGGATATCGTACGCTTGGTTATCTCGATTGTCGGTGCTAATTGCAATTATCTCTGTCAATAATCGTAGTCGACAAAGAAATTACCACTGTCGATAAGTAAATTTCTATTTATAAAATTTACCCCGCTATCGATAAAATAATCTTGCTAAGAAACTTTTAGCGATTCGCAATAGTATCTTGAATTTTTATAATTATCAAAAGACATTCTGTTGTAATTATTACACAACAATAAGTACAAATTGTTGATTGGTTGAATTTCTTATGCCTTATGTGTTAAGGTTACGCACCCTGTGACGGCACCTTGAGCGAAGCTTCGCTAGCTACGCATTTTCGTATGAATCGACAGAGTCTTCGACAGCGAAACTTCGCTGCTTGAAATTGTATCATAATGATGTAACGGTTATATATAACTTGACCGACAAAGCTAATCGATTGGATCTTTGCTGTGATTGGTTTAATGTTTGATCAAGCGTCCAGTCAACAAGAGGTGCTATCGGAACGTTCATCGGTGCACGGAAGTGAGAATAGTGGGAATATTAGGTCTTGCGCACAATGGAGGAAATTTAGGAACAGGAATAGATATGAATATTTTAACCTATCAGATACCAGTTACACCGGAATACACGGTTTTTGATAGGTTGAAATCTTAATATCTATTCCTGTTCCTAATATTTCCTCCATTGTGCGCAGGGCCTTAGGATTATGCCGAGTGTGGCAGAGTACAGAACAAGAACAGAAAGAATCCGATGGTGAGGTCAAATCATCGGAACGTCAATCGTGGCAGACGAAATTGAGCGAGCCTTGCGAGCTTGCAAGCGAATTCGGGAATCTCTCGGCAATTATTTCCGCATTATTGACGACACGACGGTATATATTATTGTGTACGCATTCAACGATTTTGCCAGTGTCTGTCCGTTGAAGAAAACGTCGTTTATCGATTCCGGCAACAAAGTGATACTGCCACACCCCACCGAGGCCATTTTGGACGATAGTGAGAGCTATTTTAAAGATCGTGGCCAGCCATGGATCAAATTACGCCTAAGGAGGTGAAGATCCTCGAAAATCCGGAGGACATTCAGGAGAGGCGAGAACAGGTATTGGGACGCTATGCCAATTTCAAGGCGGAGGCGCGCAACAAGCGGGACAAGCTCGAGGACTCCCGTCGCTTTCAGGTACGTATCTGAGTGCTCCTCTTTTCTCCTCAAGTTCACCTATTGTGTAATTTGTTGTTGTTCACGCTTATCTTGCGTACGTCTTTCAGTACTTTAAGCGAGATGCGGACGAACTCGAAGGTTGGATTTACGAAAAACTCCAAGCGGCCTCCGATGAGAGTTACAAAGATCCGACCAATCTACAGGCAAAGATCCAGAAGCACCAGGCTTTTGAAGCAGAAGTCGCCGCTCATTCAAATGCCATCGTGCTACTCGATAATACTGGTTCTGAGATGATAGCACAACATCATTTTGCCAGTGATGTAATTCGCAAGAGACTAGGTATATTCAAGCACTAGAGATAACTTTCGAGATTGTTAAAGTATTGTCAATGTATATTATTAACTTTTTATGTATGTGTAAAGTGTATTACATAAATATTACTAATTAATAGATATTACTTATTAATATCTGTCTAAGCAAGTCGAAAATTAAAAACTAATATTTCACAAATAAGTAATGATTTCATGATTTGAATTTTCTTACTCAAATTTTATAAAATAAATTTAGAATATATATATATATATAATGTTTTAATGTTTCATGAATATAGTAACTTGAATTATTTTCTTAAACTATATAAAGTAATTTGGAATGTGTAGAATATTTTAATGTTCATAAACAATGATTTCAAGTATTCTTTTTTCAAACTACTTATGTAAGATAAATTTAGAATATGTAGATCATTTTAAACTTATTTTGCTTCAACTATATTAAGTATGAATGTAATTGTGAAACGTACTGTATATGTATACAGCAAACATTTATCTTTTAATACAACATATTTAATTATTTAAAGAGGAGCTACACCGCCTGTGGGAGTTGTTGTTATCCCGATTAGCTGACAAGGGCTTAAAGCTACAGCAGGCTTTAGTTCTTGTACAATTTATTCGTCACTGTGATGAAGTGATGTTTTGGATTCACGATAAGGAAGCATTTGTAACGACTGATGAATTTGGACACGACTTGGAGCATGTGGAGGTGCTCCAAAGGAAATTTGATGAATTCCAGAAGGACATGGCAAGTCAAGAATATAGAGTTACAGAGGTGAACGAGCTGGCAGATAAATTGTTATTAGATGGACATCCCGAACGCGACACCATTTTACGCAGGAAGGAAGAGCTTAACGAATCCTGGCAGAGATTGAAACAATTAGCCACATTGCGACAGGAGAAGCTCTTTGGAGCGCACGAGATCCAGAGATTCAATCGTGATGCTGATGAGACCATGGCTTGGATCGCAGAAAAGGATGTTGTCTTATCGTCCGATGATTTTGGACGTGATCTTGCCAGTGTACAAACATTACAACGAAAACACGAAGGTATCGAGCGCGATTTGGCTGCTCTAGAAGACAAAGTATATACATTGGGTGCTGAAGCTGATCGTCTCGCTGCGATTCACGAAGCTGATCATTCTAAGCAGATTCAAGCTAAACGCGCCGAGATTTTACAATCGTGGGAGAGCCTTACTGCAAAAGCAAAGGAGCGACGCCTCAAACTTGATGAATCCTATTATTTGCATCGGTTCTTAGCAGATTATCGTGACTTGGTATCCTGGATGAACGATATGCGCGCTATCATTTCCGCAGACGAGCTAGCTAAAGATGTGGCCGGCGCTGAAGCCTTGGTCGATCGACATCAGGAACATAAGGGAGAAATAGATGCCAGAGCCGATAGCTTTGATGCAACCACATTGGCTGGTAATAAACTGCTAGAAAAGAAGCATTATGCTGCTGAAGAAGTGGCACGAAAATTAAATTCTCTCGCCGATGACAAGTCGTCTCTTTTGAGTTTGTGGGAGAAGAGGCGTATCTTGTACGAGCAATGTGTAGATTTGCAGCTATTCTACCGGGACACGGAGCAGGCGGACGCGTGGATGGCTAAACAAGAAGCTTTTTTAGCTAATGAAGATTTGGGAGATTCCCTTGATAGTGTGGAGGCACTTATCAAGAAACACGAAGACTTTGATAAATCTCTGGCAGCTCAGGAAGAGAAGATTAAGGTGCTTGATGACTTTGCTGGAAAGTTGATCGAGGGCGAGCATTATGCTGCAGATGACGTGGCGCAACGACGGCAACTGTTATTGGAAAGACGAGCTATTCTCCTCGAGAAATCAGCTCAAAGACGTCGTCGTCTTGAAGATGCATACAAACTACAACAATTCGAGAGGGATTGTGACGAAACAAAGGGTTGGGTTAACGAGAAGCTTAAGTTCGCTACTGATGACAGTTACTTGGATCCCACTAATTTGAACGGCAAAGTCCAAAAACATCAGAATTTCGAGCAGGAACTAAACGCGAATAAAACGCGCATGGAGGAGATGGTAGCTACTGGCCAGGAATTGATTGAGTGTGATCACTATGCTAGCGATCGCATACGCACTCGCTCGGATGAGATCGTGACACTATGGGAGAGCTTAACGCGAGCTACGGAGAAGAAAGGTGCAAAATTACAGGAAGCCTCCCAGCAGCAACAATTCAACCGAACAGTAGAGGACATCGAACTGTGGCTCTCAGAGGTGGAAGGACAGCTCATGTCGGAAGATTATGGTAAAGATCTGACCAGCGTCCAGAACTTACAAAAGAAACACGCGCTTCTGGAGGCTGACGTAGGCTCTCACGCGGATAGGATCGATAGTATTGCTCAAGCGGCCGAACAATTCGTTAAGTCAGGCCATTTTGATGCTGATAATATCAAAACTAAGCAGGATCAATTACAAACTAGATACGCCGCCCTGCAGCGTCCTATGAGTGTGAGAAAGCAACGACTCCTCGACTCGCTCCAAGTGCAACAACTGTTCCGAGATATTGAGGACGAGGAAGCATGGATTCGCGAAAAAGAACCAGTTGCGGCGTCCACGAATCGCGGTCGTGATTTGATTGGCGTGCAGAATCTTCAGAAGAAGCATCAAGCTGTTTTAGCTGAAATTAACAACCATGAGCCAAGAGTAGCCGCTGTTTGCCAAGCAGGCTCGACGATGTTGCAAGAGGGACATTTTGCAGCCGAAGAGATCAATCAGCGACTGGCAGCTTTAGATGAACACTGGGGACAGCTGAAAGATAAAGCTCGACAACGTAAGAATGACTTGGACGACTCTTTGCAGGCGCATCAATATTTCGCTGACGCGAATGAAGCTGAATCATGGATGAAGGAGAAACGTCCTATAGTGATGAATGGCGATTACGGCAAGGACGAGGATAGTTCAGAGGCTCTTCTGAAGAAACACGAGGCCTT